AGCACTCGTGGCGGTGCTCCTGGACGAATCATCAGAATCAGTTACGAACTGCATGATCGTGTTGACAGTTGAAGCATACTGACTTACTTCTTTAACGGTCTTGTTATTAACCTTGATCTGGACCGTCTCAAACAGGCTCCAGCCACCATTTGCCAGAGCGACATTGTCGGCGGCATCATAATTGGTGCCATCGTTTTTTACCACGTGACCTCGAACTTCAAGAACGGCTCTGTGAAGCCATATAAGCTGGTCACGTTCTCACTGTCGATATTGATATTCTTATTATCGAAATTTGGATCGCGGGGAAGAACTCTTTTGTACTGCAGACGCTCAACAGAGCGGTCAACGATGGGCTCGTCAAAGAGTCGAAGTGCTGGGAATATCATGTCCGTAGCCATTATTATGAGAGTTTGTAGTTCGTACCGTATATATATAATAAAAACTTTGCGTTTGCCGATCATCAGACCGATGTTGTTTAATCATTATTCCTGATATTTAGTCTGATGTGATATTTAGTCTGATGTGATATTTAAGCATATATCATGCCGTTACCTGACACGAGGTTGCTTAGAGTACATAAGTCTCGAGAAGTCAGCTGTTGCTTAGCAAGGCTTTCAGCGCGTGATACTAGAGCTTTTCTAGCTTCAGAAGTCCCAACCAGCTCATTAAGTTTAGATCTAGCTTCTTTCGTTAAAAAGCAGTGCGAGCACTTTTTGTGCGCGTTTTTGCAGTGCTAATACCAGCTTCAGCCCCAGCACGAGCCACTGCAAATGCACGTGATTTAGCTTTTCTTGCCACTCCTTTAACGTCTCCGTGGGCGAGATGGGCAACAAGACTGCTTACGTTTTCAGGCGAGAACTACTCTTTTCCAGTCGATATAACAGCCTCTTTGGCTCCTTTAGCCGTGTCATGAATTGCTTTTTTACCAGCCGCAACGGCCACATTCTTAATTTTTGGAGCAAACTTACCTACGCGAGATCCTAAGGCTGTAGCTGCGGACTTCCCTGCACTGAATAGCGCACACTTTGCCTTACCAGCAAGGCCCACGAGGTTTCCAATCAATGACTCCCCGACAATTTTTCGACGAACTATACCACGTCTAATCATAGGAACTATCATTTTGCCTAGTATATTATATATAGAAAATAAGCCGTTATGGCAACAGCTTCTGAATCGGAATCCGCTTATGAGCGTGTATGATCACATTTTTGGACGGATGTTTAAAGTGTAATTTACTTGCTCCCCATTTAAATCAATCTTATTTCCTGACTGATCAGTGATTTCCATTCTCACTTTATTAATAAGGCTATTTTTTATGAGTGGTAAGTAAGTCGGTGGACTAGGACTTATTTCCAACAAACGTCTTGGTTTGGAGTAAACGATTTAATAACATCACTAGGATTCCCGTTTACTATACTTGAATTAAGAAGGGAGCAGTGAATATGCATCTTCTGTACATCTGTAATGTTAATTCGATTCTGACTTAAAGTCTTTCCTCTAGTAATATCATCTCCACCAACAGCAAACCCAAGAATAGGGCCCATGCTGTTATCTGTGTCAAAGGAAACTACAAGGTCACCTTTAATAGTAATCTCAGATTTAGATGTGGGAATATTTACTGAGAGCACAAAGGGTGGATCACGTCTTGCGGTTTCATCTTCATGTGCGAACTTTACCCCCAATGCTTCCATAGCATTTTCAATAGCTTGATTGATATCGGGAATGTTGTAAGCGCCTGGGGGTATTGTGATTTTTTGCCGTTGAATTGGAGTCTGTTTAAGCTCTCCTCTTTGTGCACCATCAGTATCACCATAGTTTCCATTTCTAATCTCAAACTCAAGTTGATTGTTTTTTGTAATGACATTTTTCACGAATTGCACAAACTAGCTTCAGTAAGAGCCACTTGATATTCTTTGTTAGCCTCTAAAGGTATAGGTGGCCTAAAGCCAATTTGAAAGTCATTCGCTTCGCCACTGTGCGCCACAACGGCTCTTGTTGAGTCTATCTCAATGCTAATTTCGTCTTCTAATACTCAAGCCATTAGGATATATCGACAATGAACAATAGCTCTGTATAATATATATAAGAAGAAAATTTTTAACGCACGTATTAATTTCTAATTTTTCGGTAATAACTTTTCGATATCGCACTTTCGTCTAGCATTTTTTAGTTTTGTTATCGTTTTTCAACACACGAGAATCATTACCAGCCTCTACAGACTTGCAGGAAAGGTGAAGGCGGTCGATAAGCTATGATGGGCTGTAATAATAGTGCACTCCAGTTCCTGTTCGTGTTGTTTTAAAGAGTCGTTTGGGGTGACTTCTTCTTTTTTCTTTTAAAACATTGTAACGTTCGAGGTTTTTTTCATAGCTCTCGGTCAGCTGGAAAAGCGGTTCTTCTTGTAGACGGGCCGATAGATTTTCCAAGATTTTCAAAATCTATGTCGTTTATATACTCACCAGCCTCCAACCGATCAAGCAAATTTGAATTCTCTACAGCCTTCCAAGATGGTTTGTCTTTTGTTAAAATGACTAGATCATCTAGCCGTTGGGCAAGCTGCTGTTGAGTCACCTTAACCGCTTGAGTGACTTCTTGCAACCCTTCAATTTCTTTGTCTTGTTTTTTTTGTTAAAAGCTTCTGCTACAGAATTTTCAGCATTAACAATTGGTTCAGACACCCTTTCAAAGCATTTTCCTTCGTGCTGTCGAGACACTTTGAAATCGACTTGGTGCCGCTTGTGTTCCGCGCAGTTTCTTAAACTCTTGGACTAATTTTTCGCGCTCTTCCATAGATGCAACTGACCTGAACATACTTGAAATTCAATCTCAAGATAGATGAAGATAGATTAATGTTTTTTATCTTACTATATAATAGGACAAAAAAATGGACGACCCATACGGTGTTTTGAAAAATTATAATCTACCTGAAATACAGTCGGTGCTAGCATCTATTGATTCACAATCTCAAGATAATAAACTGTATTTTACCATGCCAGTGCCTGTTTCAAGTGATACAGTGGAATCGGATGAAGAGTCACGTGATACAGAAAAATCGTCTATAGATCCTTGCGAGAAGTCATTTGACTCTCATTTTAATAAGGTAAGAACGTATACGTATAAAATCTGCTCTAAACACAAAATTCCATTCAACGAAATTCAATGCAACCATGTTAGCCGTATGGCGGATGATATGTCTTAGTCTACTGGAAAGCCTTTAAATTACCCCTACTTCATAGCAAATTTCGTTCCGATTTGTCAAACATACGACGCCTCGGGTTGGCCTGCTGAAGCCGTTGAAGCTATAATGCTGGCGGTTGCTCCTCATCTTCCAAAATATAAAAGAGCCAACAAGAATAAGTCTAATGATGTCTTCAAAGAATGGATTACCACTTCGGGGCTACCAGAATTCCGTAAAAACGCTTCCGATAGCGAATAGGAACCTCCTCTGCAGTACGATCGATTAAAAAGTAGCCGTACTTCTTTTCAGTGGCTTCATGGTAAGCCGCCGCTAGCTGCTCTTTTGTAATACCATCAGCGTGGTCAGCTGCAATTTCTCTCACGTCGCGCTGGTGAAGAACTCTCATAAGCACAATACAGCCGGTATTTCGTCGAATATACTTGAGGACGTCATAGTAGCTTTGCGCTAAGTATATGGCTGTGACATTCTTATGTCAACTTGCTGAGAAATACACTTTGATTGGGTTTAAGCTTTTTGAATCGAGCCGAATATTGTCAAAGACTACTGTCTCTGTATAAGTGTCCAACTCCTCTACTAGAATTACATCATCAGGCTCTCTTAATTCCACACATTCTTCCAGGCCGATGCTTTCGTAGAACTCTGATAGAATCAGATATTTTTCCTGGTCGCGACTTCTTGTGTAAATAGTTGATTTAGTGCAATTAAGCCAACACATAATGATGTTAATTAAAAGGTTCGTTTTACTGGAATTAGTAGGGCCTACGAACAGATAATGGCTTTCGGGCATCATCCAATGGTGGCGCTTTGATTTTTTAGTGGTGGGTGTGTCGAAATTTATGAGTGCCATATTATATCATATCACATCAGACTAATTATAACACATCAGACTAACAGACCAATTTTTTCTGCATCTATATATAATCCTGCCAGAAAATGGAAACTGCAAGCGCACCTCCAGTCGAGCCAGTGGACGTTCCTAGGCCAGTACCACGGATATATCCTGGTTTAAAACGTGAATATGAATACCAAGGAGTAGAAGACGTTCTTTCACCCCCTTCATCAATCGAAACGAGCAACTTTCGCCTTTTTCGCATTTTAAACATTGAGGCAGAGCTCCGCCAAGAGCGTGACACTCGTCATAAGCTGCGTAAGAAATACACGCGCATTACTTTGACACTCGACACCTTATCTGCTGCATCGAGTGCCTTTACAGTCGTGACAGGAACTGGAGGTATTGCTCACTCTATCTGGTGTGGGCGCCTGGGGCCGCTCTTGAAGCTTTGCTGTCGCTGGCGGGTTGATCTCAGGTGTTGGGCGTGTTCTTTGTAAAAAGTTTGATAAAAAGGCTAAACAGCACAATCGCATAGCCCAAGCTGCTGCGACGAGTCTTATGATTATTGGTAATATTACGTCACGTGATCTCAGTGACAGCCGAGTCTCACATGAAGAGTTTGTACAGGTTCTAGATCAAATGCGGCGTTTTAACGAGCGTAAACGCGTTATTCAAGATGAAATCAACGCTCCGATGCGTAAGAAACAGGCTGCCGATGTAGCTTTTCTACTCAAAGAGATGAAAAAGACAAATAAGAGCTTAGCGTGAAAAAAAAGAAGCTGTTGCCGCCACTGCTGAAAGCACACGCCGTGAATGTGAGGCTCAAGCTTTCAAAAAAATCGCGGGTCTGGTTGAAGGCTCGTCATCCATTTCTCTCGCAGTCAAAGATAAAATTCAGTAATTAATAGAAAATTTTCTATTATGTATAGTAAGTATACAAACGTCACATCAAACTAAACATTGCATCAAACTAATGGCAACGTTAGTAATCGGTGGAACTGATGATGGTTATGGATCTGGAAAACCAGGACCACCAGGGCCTAGAGGCCCAAGAGGAGCTAAGGGAGATAAAGGTGACACAGGAGCTGCGGTGGCTCAAGGAGATACGGGTCCTAGAGGACCAAAGGGAGAAAAAGGTGATACAGGAGCTACATGGGCTCAAGGAGATAAGGGTCTTCGAGGACTAAAAGGAGGGAAAGGTGATGAGGGTCCTAGAGGAGATGACAGAACTGATGGGACCGATGGAAGTGATGGTGCGCCTGGGGCCACAGGAGCTCAAGGGCCTTAAGGACCTCAAGGACCTCAGGGACCTCAAGGACCTCAAGGGCAACAAGGCATTAGAGGTCTAACAGTTCCAAGAGGAGAGCCGGGGTCTGCAGGGCCCGCGTGACCTCGAGGGGCTCAAGAGCCTAAAGGAGATACTGGAGCCACAGGGCTTCAGGGGCCATCAGAACGTCAAGAACCTCAAGGACAGGCAGGAGCTGATTGGCTTAAAGGAGACCAAGGGGATTAACCTGTTTTGAGCTCTCTTAATGGATTTTACCCTCCAGGTATGAGCGAAGTAAATGTAACTTTAGTAACGTTTCCTACTGGAAAAACACTCGAAAATAATAAAATAGCATTATTAAACATTTGGCTTAAACGGTCTCAAAACGAGTGGTTCAACATTAGATTTACTGTGTTTTAACAAAGTTGGGGGCCTTATGTTAGTTTCGTACATGATACCACTAACAAATTGATGTCATATGTTAGTACAATTAGCGTATTCTTAATTATTTACAGTATTCTTAATTCTAAAACAATAAATTTTCATTTTATATTTATAGTGTTTATCACTTCAGTTGTGTCTTGTCACACAAACATTAAAATGTCTAACGCAGCTGAAACTTCGGCTCATGAGTTTGAATCAACAAACGATCTCTTTTGCCGAACCATAGAAGTAAACTTACGACAAAATAGAGAGAAAAATTTTGAAAAATTCCAACTAGAAGATAATTCTGGCTGAAAATATAGTCATATCTTCTTGGAACTATTCAGACGTAGATAAACCTACGCGTGAGGCTTTCAAAGCTTTGCTAAGTCCAGTAAAAACACCACGCCCGTTGTGTAAAACATCATAGAAGACGTGAAAAACACAAAAAGCGACTAGAAATTGCAGTAGGTGTGTACACTCAAGTTGGTGCTTCAGTCACTGGAAAAAGAGGTTCAGATTGGACCGATGTCGCGATGTGTGAAAAAGGTGAAGAAGATTCTTCTACAATCACCATCGAAACCGCTGCATTCTACCGAATATCATTAAGTGGAAAATATTTTAAAAGTGCAGGAACGTTACGAGTACTTCAAACTCCTAGCAAATTACTTGTCTTAAGTGAAACAAAAACACATCGTGTTGGTGATATTAACTCTGAATTTAGCTATAGCGATTTTATAGCTGTAGACTCACCTACTGATGCAACATTAGTCGTTCAACAGTTGGGAACTGCTAGAGTAATTATCACACTCACGATAGAAAGTATAATACCCGAATATTCAACGGTTTTTTGATGAATATTTGCTACACGAAGCGCTAGATGATTACGAAGGTATCCTTCATTATCTAGAACTGAATAAGAACACTTCACGTTTGGCAAAGGGGGTGAATTGGCCGCCGGAGGCGTCTGAGTTTTAGTTTTTGGAGGAATTGCACTTAGTGCGTAATAGCGTATTAACGCTGGGTCGCTCATATTTCCACACGTAGCTTCCTTACCTACAGAATTTGTTATAACAGGCGGTTTACTTCCTATTACGTCATTAAGCTTAATAGGTCTGCGTTTACAGGGTACCAAGGAGGTTCAGGTGGAGCTGTATTCGTACGTTTTCTTGATGTAGATGCTAGTGGTTGAAAAGCTTCAAGGAATGAGTTTAGAGCTCTTCCACTTGCAACACCCTGTTTATATAGTTGCAGAATCTCTCTAAAAGTGTCCATCTCGATTCTATATAATATATAAATATTCTTCTTCTAATTGTATCGTACCTGTTTGTATTAGCAGCCTGGTTTGTAATTTAAGATGTTCTTCTCTTTGTCTTATTATTATATTATTCAATTTTTTCTCTCTTTCTCTTCTTTATTTTTGCTCTTGTCTTTTCATACGTACTCTTTTGGATTCACTATTCATCTTACCACGTACCCTATTATACGCTACTTCTAAATAATAGACCCCGACGGCCAGCCGTCTTCTGCCGTTGTCCTGAGTTTGACCTTCGCTGTAATTATGCTAGCATATTTACAAGAAGTACGTAAGCGAGCTAGGGCTGGGGCGCTTAGATTTGTGTATACTCCTTCTCAAACTGTGAGGTGCGCTAGTAACGACGCTTTCTCAAGGTGAAGTGCGCCAGCGGCAACATTTTGATTTTCACAATTAACACATTTTGATTTTCTCTACATTAAGGAGGGAGTAGGGTTAGGGTTAGGGCAAGGGTTAGGGTTAGGGTAAGGGTTAAGGTTAGGTCTAACATTCCTCCGGAGGTTAGTAATCTAGCTATGGCCCTTCTAGCCTAAACACAATATATTTGACAATCTTGAGTTTATTATTGGTTGGCTTTTGTAAACTAAGAATTCTGTAAACCCAAACTTTAAAAATCATTTTGACAGACATGCTTCCAGACCTCCTAGAATGAGTGCACCTCAATAGTATTACATCAAATGTCTTCAACCAATGGATTTAGCTTTATGAACTTATTCCAAGAACCGACAAATATGGCCGTTTTCCGATTACTCAGTATGCTATGTAGGCTGAAGCTTACATTCCCGCGTTCTTAAAAGTCCTGTTCTCTTTAAACATAGTTTTTACTCTTTGCCATTCTAGATGAGAAAAATGATCAAATTTTCAATAATATATCCTGTTGGAAACTGTACGATATACTATTATAATACTCTATGTATAGAACTCATAAAGTAGTGAGTTTATCTCGTTCAAAATTTAAATTTATTCTTTAATGTTTACACTATGAGTAACAAAACTGAAGCAAAGGCAATGGAGCATAAGAAACGGAAACGTCGTGAAAAGACTGAAATTTTTGGGAGAAAGTTATATCACTTAAAGTCCCACAAATTTTTCTAAGCTTACAGGCTGCGCAATTAGTCATCCGCCGCTTAGTATGGATGGTATGCACTGATAATGTTCATTCATAAATATCTTGTTAACTTTCGATGTAAGAAAATTAGGTTTTACTGTTAAGCATTCACTTCCTTAAAAAACCTAAATAAGCAATATTTTTAAGAGGTACAATAAATAAGGTCAAAAAATGTATGTAAATAATGGGTAATAACGTTTTTCAGTAGATGGCATTAAATTTCTACTGGGTTTAATAAAATTTCAAATGACTTTCTTACTATTCAATTTAACGCTATTAGAATTAGACTGGAATTTTCTGTTCAGAGATAAAAAAATTTCATGTAAGCACACATTACAATGAAATTGACTTTATATTCTGAAATTGAGTGTATTGCAAAACAGCATCCCCACTTCAAATGTAATTCACAGTAGTCAATATTATCCATATCTTATATGCAATGCTTGTGTTCTGTAGATTTCCAGCCTGTGAAACATGAAACAAGCAATTTTTAACAAATAATAATAATACCTAGTAATGATTTCATTCGCTTAAAAACACTTTTTCACAAAATTCAGTCGTTTATCCTATCATAACATAACCTTGAGAAACTGAATTTTTAACATTTTCAATTTAAATAGCCATAGCCAAAGATTGCACTGAGGTACAGAATAGTGGCAAGAACGAAAGTGGAGTTTATCAAATTGATCCTGATGGTAAAGGATACTTTGAGGTCTTCTGTGACATGACGTCATCGGGTGGTGGTTGGACTGTAATTCAAAGAAATAAAAAAAATGGAAATACAGACTTTCATCTGGGTTGGGCGGAGTATAAACGTGGCTTTGGTAATCTTAAATCCAAATTCTGGCTTGGATTGGACAAGATACATCGACTAACATCTGCAAGGAAAAATAAACTTCGAATTGATCTAGTAAACACGTCAGGCACTAAAAAATACGCTGAATATGAAGATTTTGTTGTAAAGGATGAAAGTTATAAGTATCAATTAAGTATCGGAAAATACACAGGTAAGAAAATATTTAAGAAAATGAGTGTTTGTGATAGCAAATTGCGTTGACAGATTGTACCTTAGGACCCGTTCATATGAGACGGGCCAGTCCGCTTATGCCAGGCTAGGTAGCTTTGCCGAGATCTCGCCTTGTATATTAGTTTACACTTTTTTTGAAATTGCGTTCATATGAAGAGCGGGCCAGACCGGCTTGGAGAGATCCGCTTAAAGGAAGCGAGATCTCGCTTCTAACGGGCTCATATAACTGCATCAATCGGGTCAGCCCGGCTGAACTGGGCTGGAAGCGATGAGACTGCGCATGCTCTTGTCTTATTTGGTTACTTAAAGATGGCAAAAACTTCATAACAACAACGTGTAATTGAAAATAAGTTTGAAAATTTTATGTTATACCATTACAATAGTCGGTGGAACTCATTGGTAGCAACCAGATTGTTGAATGTCTGAGTCTAAATACAATTTAATTTTCCTCAAAAAAGTACAATATTTGTTGGCAGAAATTAAATACAACATTTCAGCCTGTCCAGCCCGCCTCGTGAATGCGAATACAAATTGGCCCGGCAAACTAGCTAGCACGGCTTAAGCGGGCTCGCCAATCTCATATGAACAATTTCTAAGGTCAAAGAAATGTATCGTCTGAAATGTCAACCGCAAGAAAGACAATTTACAATGCATTTGACCTTACATTTAGACAATATACAATGCATTAGCAAGATCATTTTAAAAAGCAGGATATTCAGTAACTTTAAAGACAGATTTTATGGCTCAGAAAGATAATAATTGTCTGAATATTATCTATAAGCACAGCTTGTATTTCTTTAGCCCGTCTAAAAATTTACATTTTACATGTGTCAAACGCATTTAAAACAAAAGAAAATGCGATAAAATTAATCATCTACGTTTGTTTTGAATGCATTCGGCTCATGTAAATGCGACATCTGAAACAGGCTTGAGCACTTTTGCTTGTCTTTGCTCTTGTTTCTCCTATGTGTAATTCGGAAAATGTATAACGCAAAAAAGAGCGGTTTATTTGTAATTTTTAATGATATGAAAAGATGTTTTCTTGCAAAGCATGCAAAAATGTAAGCCTGCAGCAAGTAATTTATAAAATAACAATTGTATAATTCGTCCTCTGATTGGCCGATGCGTGTGCTTGAATCAGGCAATATAAATACTGAAATTTATATTGCTGTGCGTTAATTTTAAACCTGTCTGAGAATGAAGATGATTTATTATTATTCATATGACAACTTCTTTTGAAGTGTTGGATCGCCATATCTAAAGACTTGGGAAAGTTCTCTGGTAAAAAAGCGGTGTAAATACTCACAATGCTTTTCTTAACTTTCTTTTTATTCCTGTGTGTTTAAATCAAGCCAACAACGAAAAAAACTGTTTAGCAAATACTCTTAATATAATATAAATGCATCATTAAATGCATGGAATGTTGCGTATAAAGTTTATTGTGAATAATGACAGAATGATATGAACAGTTTCTTGTACGTTTTTGAAATACAAATCTTCAGAAAACTATAGAACTATTTCTTCTTTTCAGGAACTGCTGGGGATAAATTATCCTATCACAATAACATGAAGTTTTCAACCAAAGATTCAGATAATGATAAACTTAGTAATGGAAATTGCGCTAATGACACAATTGCTGGTGACATAGGTGGTTGGTGGTATAATAGTTGTGCTCTTTCTCATCTAAATAGTAAAAATCTTGGTTGGGCTGATTTTAGTTACGTGATAACCAGTGAAATGAAAATCAAACCATGATGAGTTTTCATAAATATTAATAATTTCATGACAATGGTCAATATATCTATCAATACGTCATGTAAAAATATGTTTAATTATGAGCAAATATGCAAAAAATTGTGTTAATTTCATGAATTAATAAAAAATATTGTTTCAATCAATGAAATGGAGGAAATGTGAGTTTTTAACATGTTTATCTAAATGAAGCTGTTATCGTCAAATCCTACTCAAAATTACTACAGTTTTTTGAGTTTTACCATGTTGTTAGCTGCCTTCTCTAAAGAGATATTTTGTAATTATTATACTTTATTCTTTATGGCATGATAAGGTTTCATGTTTTTAAAAGTAGATCGTCCAGGTTGGTATAGTCCTGAGAAGAACTGTTTTTGTTGTTGTTGACTGACGTTTCGACAACCTAAGTCTATTTGACTCTGAAAATGACTACAGCTAAGGTTGTCGAAACGTCAGTCAACAACAACAAAAACAGTCCTTGTCATGACTATCCAACCTGGACGATCTACATTTAAAAACATGTAACGATACTCCCGGGTGCAAGCCATTTACTTTATGATATAGTTTCTCACATTTAATAAGACTTGCACGTTTATATAGCACGTGCTGCTTTTTCAAAATAAACAAATTGTAAAAACAAAGGTTTGATATATGCTTCCACTTAAATTAAAAATTTGCAAAGAGCATCGTCATAAAATGAATTGTATTTGCTTTATTGGCTTCTTTGTAACGTTAGATGCAAGTCATAATGAATAATAATCGTATATCTTGCACAATAAGCTTTATTATTTATTTAGCATCCTTCCTTAGTTAAGCTCCTTTTCTTTACAAAACCTCTTTCCTTATTCAACCTCCTTCTCTTTAGAAAATCTCCTACCTTACTTAACTTTTTTTTTTGCTAAACTTTCTACTCCAGTAAACTTTATACTTTACAAAACCTCCTTCTTTAATAAATATAAGTTTTACTAAATTTCCGGGAGTTGTTGCTCTGTTTGACCTTCAAATCTGACCATGTAGTTATTACCATGTAATTTTCACCTTCTTGATTGAAAGCTGTTCTAATTATCTAATTTTCAGGAAATAACGGCTTACCTATCTATCTTTAAGCCCAATGCAGCCAGGTTTCTTAATATCTGTAGGCCTGTTAAGAAAAAACTAGATTTTTCTTCAAGTACACCAAAGAAGCTGATAAATAAAACTTTAGACTCGGTAGCATTATTATCAATGCTGATTTTTAAAGGCAAATAGTAAGTAAAATTCTCAATATTAATATATGTAACGCATTTAAATGCCTGTAAAGAAAAATCCATTTATTTGTTTTCGTCCTTAGATTTAATCAAAAAAGTAAACCGGACGATACAAAATTTAATGACTGTAATCTTTGGAAAATCTTTTCATTTCAATATCGTAAATTAAACAGAAACACATTGCGCGCTACCTAAATGATTTTCGTGATTTAGAATTAACACAAAACTTCATCCTTATGTTAGAGATATAAAAAACGCTTCTTTTTGCTAAAATCACATCCAAAATTTAATTAATGATTTTTTAATTCTTTTTTCCTTTATGGGCTGTGGCGTAGCCAGCCCTCAAATAATTCTTTGTACGCCTTCAATTTATTCATGTTACGCCCTCAATTTATTCATGATACTTATTTTTTTATCATCAGCATCATTCGTTTTATTAAAAATTCATAGTATTATAAACAACAAAATGTTTACATGGCAAGAAGAAACTTGCGGGTTTGCTACGCCACTGATCATGTGATAGTTTCAAGTACGTATATCTTTCATTATTTTCTTATGTGTCAAATTAAACACTATTCCTGTCAATCCTATCATGTAATTTAATGCAATGTAATTTTTTAATTAGATTATTCATTTAGCTAGTTGTATCTAAGACTGTTGAAGATGTCTTATGTGTCTCGACAAAGAAACGTCTTCAATAGAAAAACCTTGATGCTACAAATTTATTTAAAAAATGCACGCTTTAAAATATATAATTATTGGGCTTACCTCTTAATCATGGTCCAATATATTTTTATACAAGATAAAAGAATGGAATATGCCTTATTTTTCTTAGTATAACTTACAACTTAGCGCCTGTTCACTACCCATAAAAAGTGAGCATGACAATTAAGGCTTTCATTGTGCAAAAGGGAAAACGATTTTTCTTTTTGAATCAACACATTATACAAGTGTTTCTCAAGATACATGAAAAAGTCAATGCTTCTTTAGCGAAGTACAAAAAACTTTCTTACTGTTATTAAAAACATCATAAAAAATAGCAAAAATATACCACCTAATGTGGAAAAGATTATTTAAAGACATTTGACTTCACTGCAGCCTTTAATGTAAAAAAACATTGGAACAAATTTGTTTCTTTGACAATAAGCCAGCTAGGGTACAGATACCAGTGCTTAGACCCTCTATGTCTAATAATCTATACTATAAAGCATGGATTTAATACCATTTGATTTGGATATGGGTTAAGACAAAATATTTTAATTGCAACCTATATATAGCTACTCGCTTCCATGGTATAGAAATGAGTGATCAATCAAGGTGAAGCTCATATCGTCTTTCAAAACATTTCCATTTTATTAGAAAGAAAAAAGTTACATTAAATATAAAAAATTTATAAAATAATCCTTAATGTATAAAGGATGCTGTTTTTTCTCATTTTGTGTAATAATATTACTTTATTCACTAATAACAAACCTTTATTGATACTACTCTCATTCAGTTGTGCTATTTCAATCGTTTAGTTCAGGAACAAGACTACAATGTTTCATGATTGCCAATCTTTACAACAAAGAAAAATTGTGGTTGAATAATAAGAACGATTGGTGTTTTCATGGGCAATGTGCCAATGTAGTGTTGATTGATAAAAATTGCAAAACATTATGTCGACACGCCTCTTTCATAAATAATTGACACGTTGCGGTTTAACGGACATTCGTGAAATTCTTACTTGGCGCCATTTGTCTGTCTTGTCTGACGTTTTTTTAATAAATGATGAAAGTTTGAATTTTGAAACAGACACCAGAACCAGAACTAGAACCTTATAAAAAATTAAATTAGTTGATCAAATGTTACGTTGTTTTTTTCATTTGACGAGCCTGATCACCTCTATAATGTTTTCTTAAATAAGATTGGAAAGTGTTTTAATATAATTTTATATATAGTTATATAGTTTATATAGTGTTATATTTATTCTCCTGGCGAGTGTGGCAAGTTAAACAACTGCCATACGAAACAGGATCGTGACTAAAACACCACACGAGTACATAAGAGTATATACAAGTAACATACGAGTACACAGGAGTGACATACTAGTATATACGAGTAACATACAAGTACATACGAGTAACATACGAGTACATACTAGTGACATACGACTATTTTCTGGTCAACAAATGAGAAACAACACAATTTCTTCAATACATTGATATTTGCGTTTATTTTTCCTTGTATTTGTGTGGACTTTGGGCAAAGTAGTTATGGTGCAGGTATGGTCCCGGAAGTAAACGGAGCTCTTACCCGTGTCAATTAGTTTCCAGTCCTAGGAAATAAACAGGGCGCACGCGTGTAAACCGGAAACGACATAAAATGAACGAAGGTTACTACTGGATGACATGATTAATTGAAACACGATAAAACTTAATTAAAATTGCCAATTGGTTTCTATTCTTAAAACAATATTAGATCCGCTTTCTTGTTTCCTTTCCAAATATAAAAAAGGAGAACACGTTACAGTTTTATTGAGTTAAAGTTATTTGGTAATTTTTGTCTTACTAAAACGAAAATGGCTTTAAAAGTAGACATTGAGCAAGCAAAGAAAGTGAAGGAATCGTCCTTCGAATTTGAAGATGAGAGCCATGTTTTAGATGAACGCCAAAGCAATATACAGAATAAATTGTTGAAGTGCTATGCTACTGAAATTGGTTTTAAAATATACGAAATTGATGAGGAAGAAGTCATGAAATCCTTCTTTGATAGTTTACAAGACATGACTCCGATAGTAAATGGGCTAGAACTTATCAAGTACACTTGTAATGATTGGAGAAAAATATTTTTGACAGAAAAAAAGAACAAATTAGAACATGAGACGTTGATATTCTTAAATAAATTTTATTGAAATAAACATTTTATTGAAAGAAACTAGCAACGATCACTCTGAAATAAAAAGAAATCAATCTTACTGACTGTTCTACTGTATCACTTTTCAAAAGATAAAAAAATTACATACTCAAAAAATCTTCTAAGAAGCGATAAACATCTTCGTCAAAACATCTAGAGTATAAAGCAATGGACATACATAAAAACACGACTGCAACATTCAGCAAGCATATTAATTATTTTACTTTAAAGCATATCGGACATTTGAATGGCAAGCATTCTACTAGCCTCTTCAAACCAAAGATAGATGTACTTTATGCCCACAGCTCGGTGGACAGATCACCCATAGGTGGCAGTGTTCACACTGGCCTAAAACAATGAACAAAATCACAACTTAAATTTTCTAAAGTCATATGTAACATTGAAATTGTATTCCAATTCAACTTACTTAAAATCGGTCTAATGGTGTTTCGTGTAGCCATTCTAGCTGTTGGTTTTCTTTGCTGATGCCTTCGCCGTTTACTTGCCTGAGACTTTGTGAGTGCTTTTACATGCACATTATTGACATAGGCTCTTTTGTTAGCAGTAATTTTCCAATGGATTGATTATTTCTTTAGTATGCGTGCGTTTCAGATTGAATGAAGGCATTAAAGTATTAAAACAGTAAATTAACTCGTATGTCTGCAGGCCAATGTATTTCAAACACCGCCAATTTAAATTGTGAAATAACGTGCAAGGTCATTGTCAGTTTTGGTTTGGAAAAAATATTATGTATCATAACTGTCCTAAAAATTATAGCTATGAGTCTTAACAATTATTATCTCTGCAATTTTTAACTTGTCATTATACTATGAAAACAAGCAAGAAGAAATTTTTCATCATTCG